TTTCTCCACCAGACCCTCCACCATTTCTGCCTTGGAGCCAGCCAACCACGAACTGAGCCTATCAAAATCATGAGCCAAATAAACCTCTCCTCATTTTTATGCAGATGCTAGATATTTTGTCCCCGTGACAGGAAACTGGCTAGTACAGGACACCATGATCAATTAGCCACTGCCGAAGATCTTTGTGAGCCAAGACAACTTATTAGTGATATGTCTGTACCGCCTCATACCACAGATATGCCCACATGGTTGAGTACTGCCACTTTGCTTCTGCCACTCTAAGATTCTGTCATCCTCACTTGACTCAATGGTGACATCCTTTACAGTCACATGCAGCCAACAAAGGTGACAACACAGAGATTTTCACGGCTGAACGTGCCTTAGTGGAGGGAATATAGTTGTATGTGTGGGGGGTGAAAGTGGACCAAATTTCTTATTTGCCAGGCATCTAGCATCCTCTCTTTATGACAACTGGAAGCTCTCTAGTAAGGGCAACTGTGTGAATGCGCTTGGCTTGACCTAGTGCTCCACTCCACTCTTCTTATTCTAAAATCTTTAGGGTGTTCCTCCACACATATTTCTCAGGTTTCTGATGATATATATTACAAAACTGTGACCATTCCTTTGGCATACAAATGCTGTCTTCCTAGGTCACAGTGTGTACCTGTCCTCCATGGGAATTGACACCAGTTATGACCTGGTGGCTACAGTTGGTTGTGGAGGGTTTTGGAGAATGAGTAACCCTTAGTAATGCACTGCCCCAGATGATGTTATTGGAGGTGTTTATGCCAAGGAAGGCTGGTCTTCTACAGAGGGCAGCTCTTGCCACGGGACAAGTAAGCTCAGGAACTACAAATTCAACCATGATTGTAACCCAGCAAACCATTCTGCAAGTTTTATGTTTCATTTACAGTAATATCAGCTCTCTGGCTTCAAGAAGTAACAGATTCTTTTAGGATTGCCATGGAGGCTCTCACGCTCACTAACAATGCCCTGAGCAGAGTTAAAGGATTGGACTTTGTCATTTCCTTTCTACAAGTCCTGATGTGTGCACAGAAAGGTCTCATGCCACACTCTGTGTGGTCATTTGTGACCTCCAGAACAGGTAAGGCCAATGCGTTGTGGGCTCCAGAAACACCTGCTCCATTGGCACTGCACAGCAAGTACCCATGCATGAGTGATGCCACAGGTCACCAGCTGCCCATTTCCCACTGGTACTGTGCTTGAACCTGAGAACCAACAGTTTCCCACCTCTGTGTCCCAGGGCTATTTTCAGCACCAGCCCCATATCACTCATACTAGGTGCCAGACCTAAGTTCAAGCATAATCCCGAAAGGGGAAGTTTGTTATGAATTGTAACTGTAATAGGGGGATGACTACGTAAGAAACTCTTTAAAATACTCCATGGCTAGCAAAAGTGCTCAAGGAGAAAGAAGCAGTCCCTCTACTCAAGCTGTGATTCAAAACTCCCAAGAGAAGTTCACAACCCCCTGGATGGTGGACAAGTTTCTGAAGTGACCCGGGCCACAGCTTGTCCACAGTCACTAGACAAGCAGGGAGCACCCTCCTTGGGATACAAGAGCTCAGGCTGGCCAGGGAACCACGGTCAGACCTGGCAAGTGGGAGACACCCCTGGGGAGCACATTGGCAAGGCTGGCACTCCGCTTCAGGGTGTGGGAGAGTGAGGCTGTGGGTGGTCCTGGATTTGTGTGCCATTGGGTGTCATGACAGTGGAGAGTGGCCCCTGGGATGGCAGGGGCTGAGGGCTTGCCAAGGACTATGCCTTCTAAGGCACTTCTAGGGCCACCTTACTAAGGTGCTACAGACGAGTGGCCTCAATGCCAGGTCACCCCCATACTCTGCAGGCTGGAGACCTGTCCTTGGGTGATGTGTGTGTGTGTGTGTGTGTGTGTGTGTGTGTGTGTGTGTGTGAATCTCCTCTCATTATGGGGACACCAGTCATATCAGTTTATGTCCCACAATAATGACCTCACTTAACTTCTTGAAAGGCGATTTCCAAACACAGAGTCACATTCTGCCAGACAGGATTAGGTCTTCACCACACAGATCTGGGTGAACACAATTTAGCTCACTACATCTGAGGAGGGGACGTCCCCTCCACACACTGTGACAGCCACAGTAGAGGCAAGAAGCAAAAGGAAACATTTTTAATTTTTAAAAATTTGCTTGTGGCCCCTCTTACACTGCAAGCCACAACTTCATCCTTGCCTTCTACTGCCTTAACATCTGTCTCCCCGAAGCCAGCCCAGGTGACTTCTGGGTCCCTGAGCCATCTCCATCACTGCCCAGCACACAAGGCAGCACTGAGACGAGCGCCCTCTGCCAACAACGCCCCAAACGACGGGCAGGGGCTCTGAGCAGCTGGGGAAGGGCAGGTTTATCCACTGTCACATTTCCAACGTGGCCAGGAGTTTCCTGGTGTCTTTTCAGTACAATATCTGCCTAACCGAGATACTGACACACTTGAGCTTTTTTTTCCCGCCTTTCCTGTGACCATAGTCATGCGTTACTGTACCTCGATGCTTCGTTTTGGGACGGCCAGACCAATTTCCCTGGAATGCTATAATTCTGGCAGGTATAAATTAAAATGAATTTAGAATGTACATGGTTATGGACTGGATGGACAAGACCGGAAACCTGGCCTTCCTGTTGCTTCTTGTATCTGCTTCATTCTCCTCTCTCTCGGGGTGCACACACTCGCTGTTCCCCAGATATTCCCATGGTCCCTTGCAGCAGCACAACAGAAAACTCTATCCTCTCCATGCAGAATTCTCTCCTACACACTCTCCCGAAAGTAACCTTCCTTCCCCAAAACTCTTTCCCTTCACCAAGCCTTAGTTTCTTCAGAACAACTTATCACTGTGCCATGGTCTTTTAAATATTATATTTGTCTTTGTGCAAATCAGTTTACTTATTTGTTAGTGACAATACAAGCTCAGCTGAGCGTGGTGATACACATTTGTAATCCCAGGACTCTGGCAGGCTGAGGCAGGAGAATCACAAGTTAAAGCACAGCTTGGCAACATAGCAAAGCCCTGTCTCACAATTAGAAACAACAATAGCAAGAAAGGGCTGGGAATGTAGTCCAGCAAGGCTGTGTGTTCACTCACCAGTTAAAAAAAGAAGGGGGGGGAGAGAGAAAGAAAGGGAGAGAGACAGGGAGACAGAGAGGGAGGGAGAGGGAGGAAGAGAGGGAGGGAGAGAGGGAGGGAGAGAGAGAGGGAGAGAGAGAGGGAGGGAGAGGGGGAGGGAGGGAGAGGGGGAGAGGGAGAGAGGAAAAGAAAAGAAAGGAAAGGAAAAGAAGAAAAGAAAGGGAGCACTGGGGATGCAGGAGTGGGTCCCGTCCTTTGAGGCCCCCTCAGAACCTGCAAGATGTAGAACAGGCACTCGGTCCACAGAGATGAAGGGAACAGCTGTAAGTGTCACAAAAGAAGCGGTTCTTCTGGAACACGAACTTCAGCCCCTAACTTAGTGTGGCAACAATGTGATTGCACTTTGACAGTCTTACCTTATCTTGGTGAAAAAGGTTCCCATTTGCTCTTCAAAAATTGTGGCTTCACTTATATACAGTAAAATACACCCTTTTCTCTGTGTGTGTATACAGTTTTATGAGTTCTGGGAAATGTACACAATCATGTGAAACTATTGCGTTCCAAATACAGTGGTTACACCATCTCCCCAGACTGCTGCCTGTCCTTTACACAGCAACTTCCCGGGCCTTGGGCTCTGGCAGCCACTCAGATGTTTTTGGTCCCTACACTTCCTCCTCTTCAGAGCATTATACAACTACAGTGATACAGTGCATGTGTGTGTGTGTGTGTGTGTGTGTGTGTGTGTGTGTGTGTCTTGCTTTTTTCTGCCTGGCATCGCGTACTAGGATTAACGTATTCACTCATGTATCAGTAGTTTGTTTCCTTTCTATGGCTGAATAGTATTCTATTACATAGAGATGTGCCACGAATAGTTTACCCTTTCATCAGTCGAAAGGACATTTGAGTTTTGGGGTTTTTGCTTTGTTTTGTTTTGTTTTTTTGCTTGGAGCAATTGTGAATGAAGCCACTATCAACATTCATGGACAGGCTGGGTGTGAACATGAGGGTTCTTCTCTCTTCGGCGAATACCTGGAGCGACATCCCCAGCCCATGTGTGCAGTGCAGTTCGCTCTAGGAAATGGCCACAGTCCTTCCCAAAGCACCAACACCATTTTGCATTTCCACCAGCAGCACACAAGAGCTCCAGTGGCTCCACGACCTCCCCATCCCTTGTTAGGAGGAGGCGTGACTACGGACTCTAGAGGTACCTCCAGGAATCTTGGCCTTTCCTGTTCCTTGAATCCTTCTAAGGCTTCTACACTTGCTGTTCCTTCTTCTGGAAGACACTTACCATGTGCTAGGGTGCCTCACATTAGCATTTGATTTGAAACCATCACCTGTCATTTTGGCTGTGGAGGTGCACACCAGTAATCCCAGTACTTCAGAGGCTGAGACAGGAGGATCGCTAAGAGTTCAGGCCAGCCTGCGCTACAGAGTGAGTTTAAAACCAGCCTAAATATGTAGGGAGACACTATCTCAAAAAACTAACTAACTAAATAAGCCATCATCTCTCTACACACCTAAAGACCAGCTAAAAATAAAATAATGCCAGACACGGTGGTACATGCTTATAATCCTAGCTATTCAGAGACAAGAGGCAGGAGGATCACAAGTTTGAGCCCAGCCTGGTAAACTCAGTGACACCCTGTCTCATTGAAAAAAAAAAATACAATGGGGGTGTAGTTCAGTGTGAGGCCCTGAGTTCTATGCTCAGTACTGACAAAAAATGTAATTATAAAACTATACTTTTGTCTTGCATTCTTCCTTATACCTGGAGTCTTAATTTTTACTTAGTAATTACATGGTGCTAAAATCATTCTTATTTTTAACGTAAGTAGACTGAAGACAGAGTGTCTTTTGATACTGAAATTCTGAACACAGACATACCTTTTCCTGGATCCTAAAGCGTTAATGATTGTTGCCTTCATCTTACTCCAAGGACACCGTGCACCCGGAAGGCCCTTCATTCGTGAAGCTTTCCTGTGACCAGCCCTGTGCGCCAAGACCGTGTGCTCTTTACAGATACCGGGTTGGCATCTCCACTGCCTAAGTAGAAAGGAAGCAAGAGTTGTGATAATTTACTTTTGGTACAGTTCTGCCTAAGGAAACTAATTACTATGTTTAATTTTTCAAAAAATGTGTGTAAGGAGCCCTCGATTCGTATGTAAATAATTAAAACTCTAGTTCTCATTTGCCTGTACATGTCTATTTCTCTACAGCAAATCTATACTTTATATGGGGTAACCCTCCAAATTTCAACCATAATTTTGACAAGTTCCTCATTTCCTCTTCCTCATATCCCAACCCTCAGTCATTGAAACCATTTAAGAAACACAGGCTTAGGAAGAGAATGTTAAAATTGTTTGCTCAAAATAAAAGCTGAAAATCAGTTCCCTTTTACGCGAATAGTTCTTCAGAAATTGCTTCTGGCAGAAGAGTTTGGAGAGAAAAAATAATGCTAAAAATGCCTGCCAACAATGACATTTAATGGGCATATGCCATGCTGCTAAAAGCTTTATATGTATGATTCATTCAACAAATGTTTGCTGAGCGATTTCTGTGTGCTAGGAACTTTCCTAGGCATTGAAGGTAAAGCATTGACTGACACAGAAAACATCTGTGCCCTCTGGAGCTCAGAGTCTAGTTGGTGTGGACAGGTAATAAAGAAAGTAAAACAGATACAAGTTTTGATATGGAGAAAAATAAGGCAGGGAAAAAGATAAAGAAATTTTGTATGGTGTGCAAGGACTTTCAGAATATGAAAAAGGTTTTCCTAGGATGATGCCACTTCAGCAAAGACTGGAGTTGAGAGGGAGCCATCATGGTGGCTGAGGCAGGAGGGTTGCCGAAAGGCTCTGCGAGGAGGGGCAGTGAGGCAGGTGGACACACAGACCTGAGGAGCTGGGAGCCAGCGGTGGCTCTAGGAAGGGATATGCCTTCTACTGGCCAGGTCCCAGAAGAATCGGTCTGGCTCCTGTGGCCAAGGCAGAATGAGAAGGTACAAGGGAGAGCAGCTGAAACTCAGAGGCAGGAATTCAGGGGACAAAGAGTCCAGGGGACTTGAGCCATCAGTGGCAGTGGGCAGAGAGGGCCGGACTGTGCATCTGTTTTGAAGGTAGAGCCAACATTTGGATATGGAATGTAAGAGGAGCAGGAAAGTCACAAAGGACTTCAAGGTCTTGGCCAGAGAGGAGGGAGGATGCCATCACCAAATGGCAAGGAGAGGAGACAAGACCAGGAGTTCAGTTTAACATATTAAGTCGGAGGCACTTATTTGGCATTGAAGTAGAAATCCCAGGCAGGTGGCTCAATCTTCAGTCCTGCCTACGTCCAGTTCAAGGAGGAAGTGTAGGCTGGAGGGATCCCTTTGTCAGATGACAGAATCAGGAGCCTGGATTAGGTCTCCTCCCGTGTGATTCTTACACCAATGACACGAGGGAGATGTCAGTTTAGAGGTGGCTTATTCATACCCAAACAGAGGCTTCAGAGGTAAAGGGAGTTTATTGTACAATTAGTGACTGTACCGACTTAAATGTTCGTTTCTTTTACAATTCTCATGTGGCCATAACTCTGATTGTGACTCAATTATTTCTCCTCATATGCCAAATCAGACGGTCAGGGGTTTTCAAGTTGGGTTCTGTGAATCCTAAAGGAAAAGGAGGCTGAGAAGGCAAGGGTCACCCCCGGGAGGGAGGTGTCTCTGCCACTGGTCAGTATTCGTATGCTGGGACTCTGTGTTAAGATTGTGTTTGGACAGAAACTATTTCTGCTACATATTTACCGAAAGTGAGAGAAACCACTCCCTGCACTGTGGGTTGCTGCCCGCCCCTCGTGAGTGAGCAGTGCTGCTGTGTGCACAGCACTGTGCTCTGGATGCTGGCTCCGGGCTGAGGAAGGAGAGAGCGCTCCCCCTTTCACGGCTACAACGTGAGGGACAGTGTCTGCATACCTGTCAGTCTGCTTCTCCAGCCACCTGCCCATCCATCCATCCACTCATCTACTTATTACACCCACCTCTCAATCTACTCATGAAAAAGCAACCAGGATGAAAATAATATTGGACATTTTAAAGCAGTGGAATACGGTTTCTCTCAATGTTTTACTCTTCCATAGCTGGGTACATTTCAGGTCCTGGGAACACAGGAGGACAAAGAAACATTTTTGAGGTATTCTTTTGGGGGGTAGTGCAGAGAATTTTAATGTTCCCCTTTTGGCCAGGAAGGTCCTTACCCACATTTGGAGATAACGCAAAGCCTGTCTCACACTTTGGCACAGAAAGGATTCAGTCTAATCTCATGTTGGTTTAGGACATGGAAAGGCAGATAACAGTGGCACAAACTCCCCTGGGCAGGGTAGGGCAGAGGTGGGCAGAGAAGTGGTTTGGGAGAGATGGCATGGGCATGGGCTTGAGCTCTGACTGAGGCAGCTGGTCCTAGGTGGACACTGGGGCAGTCAAAGGCAGCCTGTGGCTTCAGGCTGGGGGCTGTTGCTGTGGTGGCCCTGTATAGCCTGTCCACAAGCTCACCACTGTGGATGCCTCTGTCCCTTCCACAGGGTCACTGGCCTGGACGATGTTCCCACAGATGTGGATGCTGGGCTCCCTGATGGTCCCCAGGCGTCCTCTATGTTGTCAGTGTGTCTGACTGCAGCCCCCAGGAACCAGGCAAGTCCCAGCGGTATAAGTCAGCCAAGGATTCTTTTGCTCAATTATGATGGAAAACATGAAGTTGCCATGTTACTGGACAGGGTTCGAGGAGGCACCCCAAAGAGGAGATGGGGACCTCATCATCCCCCCTACGGAATAGTTTTATTGTCTTTCACCATAGAAAAAGGATTTCAGGATACATCAGTGAGAGGCACAGCTGTGATGATCAGACCAGCCCATTATCAAGAGAATAATACTATGGCTTCATACAGTGGGCAAGGGGCTGGTAAGCTCCCACTGGTCAGGGCATGGCTTCATTTTAGGAATTTCCTCCTATTGTAAGGTATGGACTCTCTTGGAGATAACCTGGCACACCCTGCAGGCAGAGAGAGGGCACTACACCTGATCCCGGTAACAAGAACAGGGCAGAAAGGAAGGGCACATTGCACACACAGTTAGCAATGAGGTGGTTGGAAAGCCTCCATCTGGCAAGAGGTCACGGACTAGGGCCTGAGATCATAGCTGTCCTGTCCCTAAAGGATACTTGTCCTATTGCACTGGCAGTGCCCTGCAGGGTCGCTCCCTGACACCTGAAGCAACTCCACCTACCTGACTGCAGTCCTGCTTCTTGAAGCCCCACATCCTGGACCATCCTGCACCTCACCGGGCTTCCCAACAACCAGAAGACACAGACAAAACAAGCAGGTGGCCAGTGCTGCCCATCTGCCAGCCACAAGTCATGAGTTGATGCTTTGTTTTTATCACATGCTGGAAATTTCAACTTTCCTATCGACAACTAAGAGAGATTCAGTAGCAATCCCTAGTTGAAGAGGTGAGAGAACCAAAGCTCGGAGTCTATGTTGGCTGTGATCACATAGCAGAGATTCATATCCAGGTCTGCCCACTCCTGGCCAATACCTCTGGCCAAACCAGCATGCTGTTCCATGTCCTTGGCCAAACCAACTTCAGGGATTTCTCTTCAGGTAAGAACTTAGCTTCCGGGTTTGCCTTCTAACAGGTAAACAAGTGCATCGCTCTGCAAGTTTACCAAACTGCTTTCCAGAATGCTGCCCTTCACAGCCATGGGATGAATGTGCCTATTGTGCTACACCTGTGTCATCACTGGCTATTATAGCTTAGAGACTTAAAAACTCGTGCCATTGCTCAAATTTCCAGGTCTCTGAGCTGTTTTTTTAAAGGACTTAGACATTTCTTCGTGTTTGCTAGCTTATTGTGTTACTCTTACTGTGTAACATCACCCCTAGTAAGATGTCACACAAGTCTTAAAACTGGTGCTCCATACAGACTGGCTTCAGCTTCTGTAAAACTGAGGGCCAGCCACACTTAGACTGGTCCACAAGCAACCTGGAAAAGGAAATATGACAGGAAAAGCAAGAAATAACTTAGCCATATTCTAGGACATTTGTTTTACAATCTCATTTTCTTGAATGTAAGTATTCTAAGGAAAGAATTGTTGGCACATACAGATGTAGAAAGCCTTATTAGGTTGAACGATACTGCACCGTCATTTCTATAGGTCAAATCTCTATAGTAGCAATGGCAAACCTTTTAAAGACTGAGTGTCCAAGCTGTAGTAAAAGTCCCACTTATTTACTGCGTAATGTCCACACTGCAACTGAACCTGAATATTGAGGGTTTTGTTTAGAAAAAACAACTGCCAACCAATGCTGGGCTGCTGGGGTGACTCAGCTCGCCTGCTGACAGGGCTCTCTGCATTCCTGCTGAGGCTCATGTACATTTGGTTTGCCACCAGGGCCCTACACTATCAAGGGGCTCACATGGTAATTGCCATCTATTAGAAATAAATAAACCATGGATATGATATACATTTTCATTAAAATATTTATTTTTTCCTTTTATCATTTTTGTCTATTAATCTTACAAAACTTTGGGTTTTGGGCTGGGAAATTTAGCTCAGTGGTACCATGCCTTCCTGGCAAGCACAAGGTCCTGAGTTTGATTCCCAGTACCAAATAAACAAATAAATAGATAATTTATAAAAAACCTTGGGTTTCAATGCATGTATTTTTATCAAACTCCCATCCATCAATACATCAGGATTTTTCTAAAGTGCTAAAATGCACATGCTCCCCATAACTTCATGTTAGAAATATAATGGACAGAAGAATCCTCAAGGTCACCTAAGATCTCGAAGAGTCCCAGGTTTCATGACAGGGGAAGAATTTTGCTATCAAACAATTGAATCAAAATCCAGGAGAATATACTTCAAACCTTCATCTTCTTGTCCTTACTTCTGTAACATATTATACAATATTCTTATTCTGAATATGCTTATTCAAAAATCATGGTCACAAGCCCTGAGAGAGTGTTTTGTAAAGCTTTATTTTCATAATTCCTAGATGAATATTATTTGCTGATT